GTRGTAGTASTACTASTAGTAGCACTACRAGTAAAATTAGTATTACTAGTACTAGTATTATTACTAACAACAACTACTATTACAAACAAAAACAAAAACAGAAACAGAAACAGTAGTAGCAACAACAGCAGCAACAACAAGAGCAAAAAAGGAGGAAGAGGAGAGATGATGACAATCACTAGTAAGAACCAGAAGGGAGCACTGGTGGTGGTCTACTCATTTGTCATACTGATGTCACCAGCACCAGCACCAGCACCACCAGCACCAACATCTTAATTGAAGCCTATAGCACCAGAGAAAGTATGCAGTGGTGATGATGTGCTCACTGCACATTTGGTGGCATGCAATGCAGAGGCCAGGTCATTGTCAATCAACTGCTCATCATCAAATTTAGATATGTCACTTGGTCTGGTGCACAACGTGGTTCTGTGAATATTGGAACTGGTTTGGTGTACTCTTCTTTCACAAACTGTGTTGACTTCTTGTGGATTCTTGACTGTAGTCTGAATGCTCTACACTCCAAATTGGGTCAGTAAACCCTTCTTGAAGGCAAATTCAATGATCTCAATGTGATTGTAGTGGATGAAATTGTTCTGCAACATGTGCACTGGACTTGTTGTTGATTCTGATGATCTCCAAAAGATTTGTGATTGGTTCTAGTATGTATGTGAGTACATTGGTTGTTAGCTCAGTTTCATCTGGTAGTGTAATCTTCCAAGGGCCTATTAGGTCAAAGCATACTTTGTTCCAGGGCAAAAGCAGCACTTCTCTTTGAGACAGTTCATCATAACCCTGGCCCAACCACTTGAATCTCCTGTAGCAATGATCAGGGCACTGGTACTCTTTGCACCTCTGGCTAAGGCTGGGGGGARAGAATCTGGCACTGACGGAATCATATAATCCGGTTGCTCCACAATAGCCAAAAGTAGGTGTTACCAGTGTAGTGTTCTGTCAACCAGGCCAGCAGGTTGATTGGTATCTTTTTGGCCTTTTGGGGAAGTATTGTGGTGGGTTTGTTGAATGAGCCCATGGTTTGTCTTGTGTAGTTGACTTGATCTTGACTGGCATTTAGTTGGAACTGAGGATCATTTAGTTAATGTGCTTGGATGGACTCAATCACCAATGGGTTATCCATCTCAGACATCGGTGGTAGGTTACTAGTAGTAAGAAGGCACTCATGTAGTTCTTGTTCCAAGAAGAAGGCATTGTGTGTCAGTATCAATGGGTGTGGTCAGCTCCTTTAAGCTCACCAAGGTCCCTTTCTTTTGCTCATAAATTTTCTTTTTTTTATCACTGACAGTGCATGGATCCATTCTGGGCAATTGAGAATAACAATTGACTTAGTTGTTGTCTTTGCCATGGATGTATCTTGTCCAAGTGAGGAGGTCAAAGTCTTCTATGGTAAGGCACCAGCAGAGGACTTGGGTTTGGGATAAGGTTCTGAAGGTGAGGTTCTTATGGTCAAAGGTGAGGTTCTTATGGTCCTTGTAGATGTTGAGCTGGCCTTCAAAGAGCATCATGTTGTGATATTCTTCGAGGCATAGGGGATCACCACAAGCAGCAGTTCCTTTTCCATGGTAGAGTAGTTGCATTGGGTTTTATCTCGTTTCTTGGACCAATATGAAATGGGACATTTGATCCTGAGAGGTTATTGTTCCTGGAGAATTGCTGCACTGAGCTGATAATCAGAGGCGTCGGTGTGGATGTCAAAGGGGACATTAAAGTCAGGAAAAATATTGATTGCCTTGTGAGCTAGCAAAGCCCTCATTTCTTTGAAAGCTTTGTTGTCACAAGCAGCAGGGGTCCAGATGTAAGGCCCAGAGTCTGTGAGAGCTGTCAGAGGGGCCAGGATATGGGAGAGCACCTGGGCCACATGAACTTGTAGTAGTAGTAGTTGACCGCACCAAGGAAGGGTTGAACCTGTTCCTGGTTGGTGGGGGTCCCATCTTCAGGATTTCATCCACTTTCTTCTGCCAAGGCTTGACGCCTTTGGGGATTATCCAATATCCAAGGAAGTCAGACTTTCTGATTGCCCATTTGCACTTGAGGGGGTTGCACTTCATGCCATTTTTAGCCACCAAGCAGAGAAGAACTTGGTCCACTACTAGTAGTAGTACTACTACTATCAGTTGCATGTGCTCATCAAATGAACCTGCAATCCAAATACCCATGTTGTCAATGCACACTTTAACCTCTAAGCTATGTCAGATCTTTGTGATGAAGGCTTAAGCATGATAGTCTGGTGCTGACCTCAAACCAATTGGTAGTCGGAGGCATCATCACCAGGAGCAGTACTTGCCATATTCTGTAGTCAGAGTGCAAATCTTCTGGCTCTCCTCATTCAGCTTGAAGTAGTAGATCATCATATTGAGTTTAATCTTGGCRAAGTGATTGTAAACCTGTCAGCAATTCATGATGTCTGGGATCCAAGGAAGCAAGAACTTGGGTTGCTTGACCAATTTGTTGAGTTTCCTGCCTGGCTGGTGGTGAGGAGGTTGAAAAGCCATCTCCTGCTGATGCACAACAAGAAGTCTACTACTAGTAGTACTACTACTAGTAACAGAATCATAATTTTCTCCTTTTCCAAACATTACATTGCAATGGCCAGATTGTGAATCATTGAAAATTGAAAAGTGTAATCAGAAAGGAGCAAGAATCCTGGTCTACTAGAACAACAAGAAGAAGTACCTCTGTTGTTGTAAAGAAACAGGAGAGSTTTCTGTTTACGTAGTACGAACGGTATGTACGGACAGGGCACAGCTTCGGTACGAGTACGAGTACGAGTACGCGCTTCGTCCATCAATCTGTCCACAGTCCACATAAAACTCAGGATTTACAACCATTTCAAATCTCTTGTTTTCTTCRCAGAAGTTGTTTCCCTGGCGAGGCTATGGCCGAATCCCGAGATCCTCGTTCAGTACAAAAACTTTGGTATAACCAACAAAAGGCTCCTCTGCTGAACTGCTCTGGAAAAAGATGCCAAAAAATGGTTCTTCATCGGTCCCTRTTATTCGTCGTCGAATCCCAAAGTCTCAAAGAAGACGCGACGGTCTGATACAATTTGCAAAGGACATCACGAGTCAGAACGGCGAGGATGGCATCATTCATAAGATTTTCAACGATGTGTTGCCCACGATGAAGGAGSAAGACGGAATCAGAAACCAACGGTACTGTGTTGATGTTGGTGCATGGGATGGTAGGCACCTATCCAATACGTTCTCTTTGCTACATCCGTCGCCTCCTTTCCGGTCTTGGAAAGGTGTTTTGATCGAAGCAGATCCGGATCGGTTCAAAGAATTAAAATCTTTGAACGAACCCGTCGGTAATATATGCCTCAATGAATTGGTTAGTTCCGATCCGTCGTCAAAAGATTCTTTGGTATCAATTCTACGACGAGAAGCCCCTGAGCTTCCAACGGACTTTGACTTTCTGTGCATAGATGTGGATGGGTCGGACTATTGGTTGCTGCACGAGATGTTTGAACATGGGTACCAACCTAAGGTCGTGTGTATCGAATCGAACCCAACAATGCCAAATGATCTGATTTGTACGTTGTGATTTGCTCATTGATGTGGAATGGACAATTTTGTTGATAATGCTGGTAGGAAGTGTTGGGTTTTTGGTAACTTGATGTGAACAAAGATTGCATTTTTTGAGTTTCGCCCTCTTCTGATTTTAATTTTTCGTTGCTATTTGGTAAAGACATCCCCCCACGAGATGATAAAACGAGGCATGGCTGCTCTTTGGCCGCTCTGGTTGAACTTGCAGAAGAAAATGACTATGTGCTGGTTGAGACGACTATTTACAACGCATTTTTCGTACCGAATGATCTCTATCAAAAATACTTTCAAAAGTACGCTCCTGACACTTCTATTGAAGCCCTTCACGAAACTACAATGGGAACGGAGCTTTACCAGCTGTATGATGGTACATTGAAGCTGTGGGGATGCAAGAAGCTGTTATGGCACCGCATAGCAATGGATGAAACAAGGATTCAAATGATATCAACGTCGCAACGGAACTTTCCATTTGCACCCACCAATAGAAATGGAATTGATGATGCAGCAATTTATGACTCTGTGATTGATATGAGTGCATATTRCAAGTCTTCTTTGAAGGATGATAATGTCGGAAAAACTGCTTGTTCTGGTTCTCTTTTGGATAGACTCAAATCGGATGGCTTCGCTTTGGTACGAGGGACAGGCATACCAGGTCAGCTCTGCAGAGAGGCATTGCGCATAACACATTCATTTTTGCAAGACGCAGACGAATCGGTTAGGAGGTCCTGTCTATCCAAGCGAGATCGCGCTCGCAGGGGTTACAGCCCAATCAATACCGAAAATTTTGCGTCTCTGATCGGCGCTGAAGGGCCTAACGACTTAGTTCGAAAGTTTCGAATGGGGCCGCCATCGTCTCGATCGAGCGACGAGAAAGGATCATCTCTGCTCCAAGCAAACATATGGCCTTCCTCGTCAATTTCTGCGGAATGGGACGAAAGCAAATGTCGTGCGTTTCAATCCACAGTCGAAGACTATTACGACAAGGCGTGCTCTGCCGCGAACGAGATTCTTCGAGCTATTTGCGATGGGCTGCTKTTGGAACATCCCAATTTATCGGTATCACTGAAACCTTTGTCATCGTCTTCCGTATCACCAGGGGTTGAAAGTGAAATCAAAGGCGAAGCGGATCTACCTGAAGAAGCAGGTCTGGCCCATAATACCAGTATTCTTACTCTCTTGGGGTATCGAAATGGGAGCAGGCACAAAAAAGTTCACCAAAAGAAGAAAAGAACCATCCATCCCTTGGTGGCGGCCCATACCGACGTAGGTGTCATCACTGTTCTGTTGTACGATAGTGGGGACTGTGCTATGCTGCAGCGACGGTCGCGATCATCGGACGGYAGTAGCGATGGGTTCCAGGATGTAGTTCTGCCGTTTCATGTCAAGGACGATCCTGTATTTGTAGTGAATATTGCCGACTGCCTTTCGGCATTGACCGGCAGGCGGCTTCCATCTACCGTCCATCGCGTTGTGCCCAGGGAGGGCATCGTCCCCCGAAACTGCCTGGCGCTGTTTGTAGGGCTCAAAGGAGAGCAAACACTGACGATCGACGGCAGCGAAATTTCTTATGMAAACTGGAGAAAGAATCGAATCTTGGAGTCTCAGAGGATTCTTAAAGGTAACAACTGAAATTCTTTTAAATTACACTAGCTGCATGTACTTTTTTCCACTATGTTGTAATCGTTGTCCAAGCCGCCGAACGTTTTGAAAATGGCGTCCACACCCAGCTAAACTCGTGAAAAACGCAGCAAGGTTAGTCCGTCATGTCACTCGAGTCGCTGCCTCCAGAGTCCTCGGCCCTAGTGGAATCGATGCTGTCGCCGCTCTGGTATTCCGAATCTGCGGGAGGCCGGTACCCTTCGCCCTGAAAGGATGTCCCGAGAGATGTCAACACCCTGCTTTGCAAACGCTGCTGTTGCTGCATCCGGTTCAGAGCCATGGCCCTGGCTGCGGTGAAGGGTTCGTAGTGTGCACTCGCAGATCCCGAGTCCGATCCATCGCTGCGATCCGACGCCGAATCGTCGAACGAAATATCGTCCGATTCKGAGTCAATGTCGGAGTTCGAGGCAGACGACCTGCCGTCCGTGCTTTCTGATCCSGGCCCCGTTCCCGTAGCACCCGTGTGAGATCTCATTTGCGAAATAGTGTTTGCGTCGATGGTCATGAGATTATCCAGCGTGGGTGTATTGTTCGTTCGGTTCAGTGAAGCACCGGCCATGGCAACGGCATGGTGGAGCTGCAGCATGTGCATGTTTGTTGCCGTCGTATCCAGATGGGACTCGTTTCCCGGGGGGAAAAGAATGGGAGAACCGGCACGCGCTATCGAAGGATGATCCGAGTTTTGCGGTGGTTGGTCGGAAAGGTATTGTCGGGCCATGCCGTTGACGCCTCCGTGACCGGGGAGCGCAATACCGGCARCCGAAGCCATGTTGAGGCTCGGAAGCGGAGGCGAGTTGGTCATTCCACGATTCTCGGCAATGGCACGGACATCCTGTTCGTTCTTGGCATTCGATGGATTGTGTTGCGAATTGATTCCGTCCTGGTCGAACCTCGTCCGCAGCGATGCGCGGGCCAGTGCCTCGAGCATCTCTCGTGACGTAGAAGCATCCGGGGCAGCTGCAACGCCGGCTTTCTGACCGGTGTTTGTCGCCTCGTGATTGCTGCCACCGATTGGCTCGTTCACGTTCCCCGATTTTTCTGGCGAGGCCCTCGATTTTGCTTCATATGCCGTATTGTCGTTGTTGTTATTGTTRTGCACTGTAGATGGTTCTTCCCGGGAGATTGGTRCCTGTTCCGAAGTCTTTTGCAAAGGAAAGAATGACTCTGCGTTGCCACCCTCAACAAGCTCGTCGATTGGTGTCTTCCGATTGTTCGATAGCCTGCGTTGTCGTAGGTTGTGTTCTTGGCGCCCCTTTTCGTCCGCAAGCGCGGCCAGTTCCCTTTCTTCTCTCCGCCGTTGAGAAGTATCCCCACCAGAACTTCCCCCAAACGAATCGGTCGATGAATTCACCAACAGAAGTTTTTCCAAGCAATTGCATAGTTTGTGCGGTTGCGTGTAATACTAAAAAAACAAAGCAAAGAATCGTGGTGAGTTTTCCGTTCTTGTGAAAGCCAAGGCACGGGCATTGCCACGCCACGGGACCCTTGCACTTACTCGGTCCGGAGCAATCAGAACCTCCGCGATGCGCTGGATGGTAAACGGGGGCTCGTCGGGAATGCTGTCGTGCCCGCTGTGGGGCATCCCCGGCAGGAGCATCGCCATCAGCCGCTGGCGCCGCTGCTGAAAGACGTACTCCGACGACAGCAGCGAGGCCAGYTTGTCGCTCTTCATTGCCGAGTCGCCGCGGCCGGAGCTGCCGCTGTTTGCGCCCGCGGTTTCGGCAAAGCGCTCGTTCCGCTTCTTCTCCGCCGGCGACAGCTTGTACCCGCTGCCCCGGTTCTGGTAGAAGTGGTCCAGGACCAGCCCGAGGGCCCCTCGAAAGGCTGTCTGCAGGGTCTTGTAGGGCGATCCGGGTATGGCGTTGCTCCCGTCCACGCTGTTGGTTTCGTCTTCCCCGTCGCCCATCGTTCCCGTGTCCGTCCACGTGTCCACGCCACTGTTGATCTGGGCGCCCTGTGTGCTCGCGGTGCCGGACCGTTTGTGCCGGTTCGTCTTCCGCAGGCTGATCTCGCTGTTGGTGGTCGCCGAGGTTCCCTCCGAGTCGCACTCGTACTGGGCCGAGTCGTAGTCGGGCTCGCTCCCCGTCGATCTCCCGCTCCCGACCGAACTGGGAGCGGAGGAATACATCCCACCGAGCGTCGCGCCCGGAAAGGACGTCCCGCCGGGCGCGTTCGTGGCGGTGGCGTTGGGAGCGTTGTTCGGCGCGCTGCCGGAAACGGAGCCGGCGCTGCTTCCGCTGCTGTTTGGGTTGTTCGCATTCCCCCCSRAARCGTTGCTGCCGGTCCGCACAAAGACGAGGGGGCGTTTCCGGCTGCTCGGGGAGGAACCGCTCCGGCCAAAGACCCCGTCGGGGTTGCCGAAGCGCATCCTTTCCCCTCCCTTGAGGACGCCTCCGTTTCGGTGCCGCTTTCGGGGCAGGTGGCCCCGCCTCGGCGTGGCYGTTCCCCCACCAAAGGAGGGGTGTTTCCGCACCCTTCCCCCCACGTTTCCCGTTGCGGCCGTCAGGGAGGCTGCGTACTGAGACGAGGGAGACGAAGACGAAGGCTTTTTTGCCGGCGACGCCTTGGAAGGAGCCGCCGGGGGATGCCCCGAACCGYTGTTGGAACCGAGRGAAGCAGTCGATTTTGCTCCGTCGGCGTCTCTCTTTGAAGACAGCGTTGCCGTCTCCTGGTTCCAGGAAAGCCAGGAGCACTTTCCGGTCTTCGCCACCTCGAGTATGATGCGCCGCAGCTCCCTCGGCAGCGGTCCCTCCCCAAAGCCCTTTGYGGAGGTTGCCACGGTCCTTCCCGGAATCCCGGAATCGTCCTTGGCCGCCGACAGCCCCTGCTGTTTCGTTCCGGCGCCCACCGGCTTCTCGGGTTCGCCCGCCTGTCCCGGGAGGGGATCCCCGGCCCCCGSACCGGACGGGGGGCGCTTGCGGTCCACCGTGTCCGGGCTGCCGCTTCCAGAATCGTCCCCGGCGGAGGCGGAAGCCTCGCTGCCCTCCGGGGCGGATCCGATGGGAGCACTCGTGGCCTCGCGGCGGCGGTYGATGTCGTGGCCCTCCTCGCCGGTCCTCTCGGCCACCGCCGGAGACGTCGACGTCGCCGATGCCACGAGAGCGGATGCCATGGCGTGCTAGCTGGTGGGTTTGTCCCTGGTATGCTCCGGGGTGTGGCGCCTCTGGGACTCTCTCTCTCTCTCGTATCGAATCGAATGCAATCACCTAAATAMAGTACAAGTTGTTTGGTCAGCAGCCCATGTCAGAAATACGAATGTTGCTCCGTTGCTTCTCGGGTCTGGTACGGTAGGTGGTATAGGAGAGATCGTGGAAACGAAACAATAGTGGCAATGGGTGTGTTGCGTTGACTTGTKTTTTTTAACGTTGTGCCGTCTTTTCTTGTCTACCAACTCCTGTGTGTTCTTTGGCCTGTTTTCTGTTTCGGTAAAAGGGAGAATGGGGGTGGGGTTTGCTTCGAATGTCGGGCAACGAAGGCAATGCACAACGATGAGTAGATTGAGAAATCGAACAAAAATTGTTGTTGTTCCTGTCGTACGGTACGATACGATACTTCCATTGCGCTGGGAGTGAGTTCGCTACGACAGCGGTACGGTACCGTAGGGCGTTTGCACCGGGAGAGTACGAGTACGAGTACTTGTAGTACGTATCGTTCTCGCGCATAAGTAGCATTTGGTTTTCATCAATGCGGGGTTCAGCCAAACGGGAAGGCCTTTGTTTGGTGCAGGGTGTTGGTGGTTTGCTGCAACGTCCTCGGTTTTGAATTTTTTACAAGTAGAAGACAACGAAAAGAACTTCCCACGAACCACGACGACTGCMGTAGAATGCGTACGTTGACTCGTGTCCTAGTACCAGTACGTACTCGTACGCACCATTATTAGATAAATCAAATGAATACTCGTGTCCCAGTACGAGTACGTACTCGAACCGCTACGGCACCGCCTTTACCGTTCTTCCTACGATACTGTACAGAGGAAAACGTTCCGTACGAACTCGTAGTTCGAACCGGCGTTCCATCATTTTTTCCAACCCAATCGCGCGTTTTCGCGCGATGAATGTTTCTTAGCAAGGTGCTGTGTCGAACAGTACGAGTACGCACGTACGAGGTACCGGTTCGTAGAATGCAGGAAGCGGCGCGGGGTGGCCCATGCCTGTCYGTCCGAGTACGAGTACGAACCTGTGGAAGTAGCGTGCCGTACGATACCGCACGGTAGATTGTAATAACTGTATCGTACGCTGCCTTCCCAGCACAAGGGGTCATAATTTAGACCCCCTGGCCTTCCCCTCTATTCGTGTTGAAAATGAAACCCGTTCTTTGAAAAGTTCGATTGGACGGACGCCGTCCTCAGCAAGCAGCAAGGCAATGGGTGATTCCCGCAAACATATTTCGACATATGTTTTCGGGAATACGTTTCAGTGGTACAGAAGACACAGA